GTGTGTGTGTGTGTGTGTGTGTGTGTGTGTGTGTGCTCATTAAGACAAAATCTATGGTAGCCCAGGTGTGTGTGTGTGTGTGTGTGTGTGTGTGTTTACATTTCCTCAGGTGATTTTAGCATGTAGCCCAATTTGAGAACCAGTTATAACTGAGGATAAAAGTTGGGCAGTGGCCATTGTACTAATCCTTGCTCAGAGTCTGAAGGCCTTGGAGGGAATGATGGACTCATTCCTGTGTGCTTAGAGGGGGCTGCCTGTCTTTTTCGCCTGTGTTGGTAATCTTTGGAAGAAACGAGCCTTGCTGTGCTCCTCTTGGCACACACCCACCCTCCTGTTCTGGGCTTTGAAAAACAGAAGCGGAAAACAAAACTCTGCATAGGGACCCTCCTTTTGACATTCCCTAGGGAGGTCAGAAACAGGCTAAGGAGGACGTCACCTGGACTCTTGCCTCTGCTTACGGGACTCAAGGAGGGGCCTCTGCTTTCCTGGGGTCTCTGAAAGCATTATCCTAGCAAAGGAGAGGTCCCGCCCACCGTCCTTGAAACATGCTTGATGATTCTTTAAGGTTGGAAACATCTAACTGTAGTTTGTTAAATCTTGTGGAGGGATCCAGATCACAACTTTCCTCACAGGGGTTTCCCAACCCAAGCAAAGAGCTCTTCAATCTGGAAACAACTAACTGGATTTTATACCTCATCTCCTCTGCAAAGATTGACTGATGGTTAGCTTTGGGGGATGGCTATTACAGGCGAACGGATGTTCCCAATTGTGGGTGCGCCCAGTCAGATAGCTCATCATTCTTTGCCCCTAACTTTGGGATGATTCCTACATCCAGAGCTTTCCTGGATTCTATCATGAGGAATATACCAGTAGGGACGCAGAAGTGGCGCCCTGGGCTTTTCCTTTGTGTACACAGGCGTCTTTCAGATCCTTCATTATCCTTTGCCTCTTGGTGTCTCATACTAGGAAATGCAGAGGGTGGAAGTCAGGCTTGAGCTTTTGAGTCTTCATTTAACTGCTGTCCTGCGATGACTGGGGGACCGACACCCCCCCCTCCCCGTGTCCACCACTAGTCTCCCTTCTCAGTAGTCTCAGTGTCCTTACTGGTTCTTGGCTTCTGATCCCAGTGGTTTCTCACTGGTTTCTTTCTGTCCAGGTGTTAGCGTGGCTCCTCCTGCCTCCACAGCTACGCTGCTGAGCAGCCGTCCAGAAGCTAGCTCTTCCCACTACCTCAACCCCGCTCAGCCCTACTCTCCTACAAGGGGCATCATAGAGCTGGGCAGAATCCCGGAGCCTGGTTACCTGGGTAGCAGCGGCCAGTGGGACACGATGAGGCCTCAGAAAGGGAGCGTCTCTGGGGACCTGTCGTCGGGCTCCTCACTGTACCAGCTGAACGCCAAACCCACAGGTAATGCACAGAACTGACAGGATCACCCCTTAAATATGTCCTGTGCACAAAAACCCAGTCACACCAAGTGGAGGGGTGTAGCTAAGGAGGCCAACAGGATGTGATGGAGCTCAGTTCCAACAGTAAAAAACGGAATTTCCAGGAGACAGACCAAAGTGAAGGGGTCCGCTTGTAACCCAAGAGTGCTTCTTCTCCTGGGTTCTTCGATCCATGTAGGGGCCTCCTTATTCCTGGCTTGTTAAAAGTGAGGTAGGGAAGCATGCCCTGTAGCTTGAGGACGTGGTTTTTACCTTAGGCCTTCTCTTTAAGTGGGAATGGATGGATTTTGCTAAAAAACTGTCGAGTAACAATAAAGAGACTGGAAAAAGGCAGTAAGGTCTTCCCTGTCACCCCCCAAAACACACCCAAGGGTGGACACGCCTTGCCCAGAGGTAGTCGGGCTCAGTTAGAGCTGTCAGTTACTTTCTCAGTGATAGGCAGCTCCCTTTCACCGTGGGTGGGGGCCAGTGGGCTTTAGCAAAGGGCCGCCCTGTGCTCCCACACCTCCTTCAGTGAGGTTGCCCGTGTGGAAGGGCACAGTGGGCAGAGGGAAGGGGACCTTAGGGTCAGGCTGAGGGGGCACTGGCAGAGCTCACCCACCCTAGCAACCAGCGTTCTAGCTTCCGCCTTGTCCTGGGATGGCTGCAGGGGCTGACCTGTTGGAAGAGCATCTCAGTGAGATCCGGAACCTGCGCCAGCGCCTGGAGGAGTCCATATGTGTCAATGACCGGCTTCGGGAGCAGCTGCAGCAGAGGCTCACCTCCACCACCCGGGAAAGCGGTAGGCAAGGCAGAGGCTCACCTCCACCCCCACCCCCCCGGAAAGCGGTAGGCAAAGCAGAGGCTCACCTCCACCCC